GTTGATGGTTTCAATATTCCCAACAAGAAAATCGAGCATAACGAGTGAAAGATAAGTATTAGGTAGTAAAATAATGGTTTTGTTAAAATCATAATGTTTATTAGAGGAAGGTACATTTGAATTGACATATTAGAATAGTTGAATGGAAAGTTGAATGTAATGAAACTTTTTAAGTCGACTTGAAGAAGACGGGAATATTATTCCTAGTTAAAGTAGAATGGCGGCAGTTTAGTGTTATGTGTGTATATTAAGAGATATGGCTTGATTTCCAGAAGGTACGTCTCATCATATGTACACAACTATACATCATGCAGCCAGCAGGATTAAAAAACATTTAATATTCATAGAAATTTGTCGATGAAGGTAGATTTAAAAAGAATTTTTAATAAACTATTCTAGAAATTCCTCCTAAGGCCCAGTGGCTCTCATTTACTAAAATGCTAGGAGTCTAAACTCTATAACCGAGTCTACTCTCTTAAATTTTCCTGTTCAACCTTTCTCTCCCGAAAGCCTGACATACATTCGTCTTAACTTTATACGCTCCATGTTTCCAAAACCGTTGCTTTTCCCGGAGGTGGGGCCAATTAATTGCGATTTCCATTCTCTTCATTTGTATTGCCATTCGTGTGAAAATTGGTAATACATATTTTTATATAACTTTATCCTTATACGCGGATGTTTCTATTTACAAGAAACATTCTTTATTTGTGCCGTTGCTCAAATTTCAAAACCTACTTATACAGTCAGCGTATTGGAGGATTTTAATTTACCCCGAATCGTTTGATATTACAGCGATAATTCAGGCTGTATACGTCAACTGACATTATTCTAATTTAACACAAATGATTTCTATAGCCTTTTGGTAACATATAGCCGATTTAAACGTTGTCCTTGATCGAACACAATTTTTAAATCAATGAACGAATATACACTTTCCAACTCCTTTGAAATATTCAGTGAGAAATGCATTCCTTCTTGAGAATGGAAGTTTGTTGCCTTTTTTTAGATTTAAATTCAACACTTAGTGAGTACCATGTAACCAAACTGTCTAAATCAATTTAAAAGACATAAGAAAGCGATTTAAAGGTGAAGGAGAAAACCAATTTACCACTGCCATGGTATGCTCCATTCCATCCATTGCCATATAACGGTGCCCATCAACAACATACCTTTGCTATTTTATCAAGCAAGTAAATGAAGATTTGTATTAAGCGAAGTAGTGTAGTGTAGTGTAGTGTAGGGTATTTAATGGAGGGCTTGTCTTGCTTTAATATACCTACCAGTTTTTGTCTAAAAAAATATTGCATTTAATTAACTAAGAAAATCACCATAAATCTCACAAATATTTGACAAGCAAACAAGCATTACGGGCTATTAACTTAGAAACGAGAAGGATGAGCTTTAGGAAAATCAGCCAAGGAAATCAAATGAGAAAATGAAATTCGCTTCGGTGCGAATCTTGGACACCCAAACTTTTAATTATATAATTTCTCACTTTTAAGAAAAAACATTTATTACGCATGTATTTTTTGATATGGGAATCTAAGAAAAATATGTCGTAGTTTCGATTTACCAAACATTATGTTGCCAACCTTAACTTAGTATTCACTTAATTTTTCTGGTTATATTAATGGATATTTTCGTGCTCATTTTAATCTTTAAAATACTTCATTCGTACTTTGTGGCCAACGCTCGGTTATAATGCCAATTTGAGCAACTATTCAAAGAATAAATCAGAAATCTCAACCTCCTATGTTAAGTTACCCCATTTTCCAAAAAAAATTGAGAATTTTAGGAATTAATTGACATATGAAAAATTGGATGCAGGGATGGATAGATAGGTATGATTTATTAAAATGTGTATCGACCTCTTAAGCGACATCCGGAGAGTATTTCTGGGTGTTACAAACAGATTAACGAAGTCGATCTACTGGCATCTTCTATTGGAGGATATAAAACATGTTTGGCATGTAAGCGAAAAGGTTAAGGTTTAGATTATGCATAACAAGAACGAAGTCGTTTTCTCTCTTTCCCAATTTTTGGATAACAACGACTGTCAAATGTCAATGTAAAATTGCATTCTTTTGAAAGATTTATAACCAATTTTTTTTTGCACTTACGGCAGTGGTATGTTTGAAATTAAAAGAAAAAAACGGAAATAAATTTTATATGACTGCATGTACATATATAGGAATCGGTTTTATGTTCTTTTAGAGGAATTGCAGAAAATTGCAAGTTGAATATTTTTTAAACTTTTTAATCCCTCAGCTCTCGGAAATCTTCATAAAAAAAGAGAAAAGTTTCATGTTTTTGTGTTCATAAAACATTTGTTTTTTTCCCACGCATATATATCCACCTGAACAATTTTAGAGCATACAATACATAAATAAATATTTAACTCAATAAAAAATGTATTGATTTATTATACCATGGAGATCATAAGATTGAATGTGAAACGACTACATTCACCTTCCAGAGATGGGTTAGAGTTGCGATATTTTGGAAAAAGGAGACTTAAAGTTTTGGTTTAAATTAGAGAGGAGAAAACAGACTGGAAGAAAAAGAGAAAAGCTTGATTTCATACGTTTTGGGTCTTTGCCGAAATTTTTTGGGACATGATTGATCTAAAAGCAAGCGAAACCCGAGAAGATGGTTAGAGAATGAAAATAGCAAAATCTATTTCATGCCTTAACAAAAAGCACGTTTATGCATATTTATTGGGTCTCTATGAAAAAAAACAAGTACCAAAAACCTGACGAAAATTAGGCGACACAATAATTCGCTCTATTTTTTGTATGCAATGGCAAAATTTCTATGACATCCAGCAAAACTAAAACATCTTTGTGTACAATAACTAAGGCTAAGTAAAGACTCACTTAATCATTTTAACCTAACCGTTACTGTAAAATTTTTTCAGAACATTTGCTACCAACTTGGTCGCCTGCTTCTAACATAGTAGTCGTTGAAAGTAATTAGTGTACAGAAGTCCTACTTTACTTGTGATTTGTCTTCTAATAAAATAGTTATTGATTGACTTTAGAGCTATTACCAAAAAGTTGAGAATTTAAGTAAACCTAGAGAAAGCTGATGCAATATTAGTAGAGTGTGCTTATCTGCCTATATATAACTTGTCTAATCAGCCAGTAAGGTGGCAAGCTTTTTTTTCTAACAGAACGCAATTAGCAATGGATGGGAATTTTCCATACAACGAACCATTACAAACATTTTTCTAACATCAGAATATTTACTGCTTGCTAGTGCTTCAATTGTGTTAAGAATTGCGGCTGGTTCGAACGACACAATATATAATTAAAGATTTAATTGATGCACACATATGTAACACACACATGCTTAACAAATTGCAATCGAACGAGATTTGAAATATCATATCTACAGTTTTCCGAGTGTTCGTTTTTTTTTTTAATTAAGTAGGCACTGCAATAAGAAATGCTTGCATATAAACGTATGAGTGTGCAGTAAATGGCAAAAGTTTGATAATTTGATAAATTCAAATTAACGGAAATTATACATTTGTGTAAGGTTTGAATTAAAGAGCAATTAGTAACCATAAGTTTCAGGAAATTACAAGCTCATGTTTAATTAGCGTGAAATATAAAACCACTTACATGGTAAACACACGCACATATATATATACCATATATCAACATTACAAATAATGTCATTGGGCTGAGTGTGTTTGCATGAAATCGGTATTTTAAGTGATTATACATATTTAACATTTAACCTTTTTAAGCAAAGTAGTTTAAACACTGAGTGCTTAGTTAAAGGCTCTCTCATTAATTCTAATTAATAAGATGACCACATTCTCAAAAATCTTTCCCTGGATATGTTACACGATAAATCCATATACATTTCTTACTTATTGTTCTTTTCCCGATAATTAATCGAACCTAATATTAACTCGCAATCAATTTTCAGCTGTCTGCTTCTACTCGCCTCTATTGTAACTGGAAATAATTTCAAACATGGGTTCATAGAGCGCGCAAGTAATCCAAACTAGGCTGAGGAAAAACGAAAGCGGCGGCAGAGATAGTGAGAAAAATAATATATTAATTTCAAGATTGACTACGGTGATATTGATGTCGAGCGAAGTCGTCTGCTCAAAAAGATAGATGCAATAGGTTCTTGAAATAAGCAAACGGCAAACAGCTATAATAATAATAAGCTGCAGCACTGATAGAAATAGCTTAGAAAATCTGTTAAGCGGATTTTGCTTTCATACGATGTAATCCTCGGAGGAATGGGGACTATATATGAGTATCGTAGTCGGTTGCACTACATCTAACTATTTAGGCGTGACCGTCGTACAAAAACCTATTTTGTGGTTTCATTGGCATGATTAGCTTCACGCTAAGTTTTTAGGGTTTGGAAGTTCGGTCATAACTAATGCGGCATCACCAGTGCAGGTATATTAAAATTTCGTCGTAACTTTATATATTTGTCAACTGTTGCGCCCTTCATCAGTCGGACGTCTTAAAATTTTGACGCATCTTACGTCTTCTCGACACCACTTCACTACATTTGTGGAAGATATTTATATAACCGTGGAAGACATTTATATAACCATTATATACTCCAACATAACTTTGCAAGATCATATGTCACTTTAAAAAAAACTTACCTGTATGTTTATATTGAAGAGTTCCATGTTCGTGACTTGCCCGTACCTATACATGTCTTTACATCCAAATGATTTTGTGAAGGGTTTAATCCTATCAACTGGTGGACAACCGCGCCGCGACAACGGGTGTCAACTTATTACAAAACGCAGTTGACAGATTATAAACATAATAGATCCGTTTGTGGCCTATATATTTATTCCACAACAAGTCGTAGCTATTCTAATATGAACCAAACTCTAAAACTATGTGATGTGCATTTCCTTACTAATAATTCCTGTTTTTACCAGAAAAGGACTTACATTCTGTTTATATTTTTTTTTTGGATTTTCTAATTTCACTTAAATGTCTAAAATTTACTTGACAAAAATTTTAAAGCTTGAGACAAAAAAGATCGAATATCTGATTTAGACACCGTAACATCGGTAGAATCAAGCTTTTTGATAATTTCATCCTTTAGTTCGATTTCCTCCTGTACCTGCTGCATTTTATCCTCCATTATAGAAATCTGTTTTCTAAGCTTTTCAACTTCCTCCTCTTTCGCTCCGAGTTCGGCTGTGAGAATTTTTATATTACACTTGTAATAGAGAAAAAAAAAAGTAAAGAGATGAAAGAATTATGCAAAATGGCATTGGGAATAAAATCTTTTACTCACCTCTTGCCTCTTTTTTGATTCAACATCGGCGAACAATTTCTGCAACGATGGCGAAAAAACATATTTTTAACAAATCGAACGAATCATTATGTTAGACTTACGTCAACATTAACTTTAACTGTTTCACCTGTCCTCCGGATATTTTCTACGCTTTTTTCAATATTACTGAAGATTTGTGATGTGGACATGGTTTCCAAACAGAGGCCTTTTGTATCCCAATTATTGTCATAGTAGACGTTCTGAATAACTTTGATCAAAGAATCTATGTCTTTGCGGCATTTCAAAAGTTCTCTGCTTTCGCTGCGGCAGCAATCAGTACCCCATCGCTGAGCGCATTTTAGTTGCTTCGCTATTTCAAAATCCAACTTTTCCATGTTAGTGATGAGCAATTGGTTAACCTTGAGTAATATTTTCACCCAATTCCGATAAATAATCAATTTTAACTAGAAATGAGGCAGTTACAAAAAGCCGTTTACGTCTCTTGCCGTTAAAGCATACTTATCACTTACCTTTATATTATCAGGAACTTCATGGTCGATTTCGCGCAAACGTTTAAGAAATACTTTATTCACCTGTGTAATAAATTTCGTTGTCTCATCCAATGACAATTCAGAGTAACGATATTTTTCCAATTGCTTCCGATGACTTCCGCGCATCATTGGACGATTCTTTGAAAATTGTAAATCACCCTTCTGCATTACTTCCGTTGGCGCCTTACGAGTCGGCAATGCAGTTGCGGCTGTAAATACAATATTTGTTAATAAGAACGCAGCCGAAGACAAAAGACTTTCAAACCGTTTTCGGAATCGTTACGGATGGCATTGTTGCCCGAGACATTAGAGCGTTCCATAATTAATTTTCGAGCCACCGATGGACTCAAAATCTGCGGCCAATTAAATTGATAAGAACTACGCGGACGGTGATGACCGCTCTGTTTACTAGTCAGATCTCCAAATTCATTCGCTTTATGTTGAACGGTGTTACTGTGCACTTGATTACCTCTTTCGCAGAAATTTATGCTATCGGTTCTCGATAGACAAAACAAAAAAAGAAACACAAATTAAAAATCGCTTTAACAAATTAGAATTTTGCACTCTTTTTCTTTTTTTAGAGAAATTTTTAAACCAAATGCTTGAGATACAAAACATTAATATAGTTTTTTATTAAACCAATATGACTTTAAACAAAAATTTACAAAACTGAACAAAAAATTACTCGATGAAAACAACATATGTCAAAACTAGCTATAGTACATATTATATTATAGTGTGACCGAACAAGTAATACCTAAAGTTTTAATTCGCTAGGCTTTCGGTTCCCTTTTGTGAGCCAGAAAAAACTTTACAATAAAATTTGGAAAGATATCAAGAAAATTTGATATTCTGCATCGACGCAGACATGTTGGAAGTTTGTCGAAATCCCTAAAAAGTGGTAGTTGAAAATACAACGCCAAATATTGAAAGCGCTATTATTTTTTACTTTGCTATCGTTATAATGTAGTTCAGTTTTTCATTATTATCATAATTTAATTCGGTTTTTTCAGTTAGGGAATTTCGTGTGAGATTACTTTGTCCATTTTCGAGTGTTGTGCTTGTTGTACGATTTTTAGGGTTCAATAGATTTTATACTTTACACAGCGTGTCGCAAAATTACGTTAACTTAGACGCAGATGTACACAATCGATTGAGCAACGTTTGTCCACGCATTTTTCTTTTCAATATACACCTGTACATGACATACGCCGACATTATGGACGGACATTATTGAAAAGAAAATGGACCGTGCCATTTTTATCACCACTCCCCTGAAATGATTTGTTCGGAAAATATGAAGGTTGCTATTAAAACTAGCCCTTTACGTGGCCACAAACTATAATTTTTGAACTTAATGGCGAGAGTAAGCGAAGAATCGCAGCTGTTTTGTGCCTTAGCCGATTACAATGTTTATAAATTGTTCAATAATTTTTTGCACTTATTCTTATAGTATTCTTATAGTATTTGTCCGTATGTCCGTATGTTCGTATATGAACACATGAGTATAAATGTACGAATACTAAAAATGATTGGAATGTTTGAAAACTTTATATCATATAATATTTATCATTAGATATATGTTATGGGATTTCGTTTTAAGTATTGTTGTCTTGTTTACATATATTTTGATTTTTCTTTGAATTATTCAACCATAAAGCTTATCGCAATTATGAGATTTTGCCGCAATATTTACACTACAGATCGTTACTTATTAATACTATAGAATGTTTGATATACGCAGAAGCGCATAAATATACAGAGAAATATGTAGATAATTCTAATTCGTACTCTTATGTACGTTTGTTCTTCAGTATATGATATTCTACGTGAATTCTAGAAAATTGCAACTCAATTTGTTTCTCATACATCACATACATATGTTGGTTTGATTTAGTTTCATCGATGAAGCTATGATGAATAAGGGAATCTCAAAGCACAAGAGAAGGTTTACTGAATATTGAATAGATGTTGTTAGGGAAAAGTGAAGTGAAAGATAATATTTGTGGTTTTATAGTTGACATTAGCTGTTCTGTTCTATGCACTGCTTTTTGTTCTGTTATGTTCTATCGAAGTAACCACACTTAACTAAATTTTCGGGAATAAAGTAACATTTTAGGAAGGGAGAGAACTATAATTGAATTCTAGGAAATTAATGCACGTAGTTTAATTTTCTCAACTAATGTTTCATGTAAGCATAGCAATGAGATATATTAAAATAATCTGTTTGTGTTTGTACGTATTTGTAAATCTATAGTAGATAAGGTGTGAGTATTGTATTATGGTTAAATATTGTATTAAATAGATTGCACTGCGGTATTTTCAACAAAATGTTTATATATAACACAAAGATCCGTGTGTAAGAACATGCCCGATTAAGAGTATAAGTAATAGATATGGAATTTGGTTAATAATTATACATAGTATTTATATATATAAATATACAGAAAATTGAATTTTCAATATTGTATTGATTGCAAATTAATTAACATGAATTTTCTGGAAATTGTTATACTTACTGCACAAAAGTTATTTCCTATTTAAAACAAACATAATAATAAAGTGTAATTTAACATCTTATCTTCCTCCTACGCTGAGTGTTGCTTTCTTAATGCGATACACGTAAGGAAAATTAAAATAACTTTAATCATTTATTTCAAGTACATCTTGCTTTGCACTACTATTATAATTATGCCGTATTTAGTTCTGTTCGGTTCTAGTTTTCTTTTTAATAGCTTCGTTCTTTAATTTCGGTTATGCATTACTTTTGCTTTTAGAGATTAGACTTCTTGACTTTTGCAAGAAGTGTTTGTACTCCTAGTAAAAATGAACAGTTCGCTTAATTTATGCGTGTATAAAATTTTTCTGTTAAATTATCATTCATTTAATTTTCTTTACAATAGCGTGAAATGTTGTGTTATTCCTTCTAATCCCGAATTCGGCGATAGCGGACGTTGCGAACAAGCTTCGCTTCTTAAAAGCTCTAATGACGTCGCCATCATAAAAAATGTAATACATATGGAAAAGACGGTGACAATTTGTGCATCTTTGTTGGACAAAGATGCAGATCATAGGTTAAATTGTTTCTTGTCAAAAAACTTTACTTATTAGTCCTTTGGAGTTTCGATTACGCTGTCAACACTTCTTATAGAAAGCCGTTTAATCGTCGTTTTCAATTTAAGTCCTCTTTCTCAATTTGAGAACATTTGAGAGTTCTTACATATTTCTTTTGGTCACATTAATTTTAAAAATAGGTTCAATTACTTCCTAACTTTAAGTGTATTTCGCGAAAATCTAAAAGTTAGACGTCTATCCCGTTTCTTAGTATCAACAGAAATAGGTGGGTGGCAAAGAATTCAGTCCAAACCGATTATAGTTTCTCGCCCGATTCGTTTTTAAAAAACCTGCTCCAGAGCAAATATTTTTAAACTCCTTTAAATCTTGTTCTTAGTATCGTTATTATGAACAAATGTGTAGATAGTTCGTTACCATTAACATAGCTTTGGGGTAAAAGCAAAAAGATGTTTAACACTAGGTAATAGAGCACACACGACGAGAAAGTTGTCATTATGATAATGGCTTTGTACATTACTGAACTTATCCAGACTCCGTAACCTTCATATACCGACATAAATGCACTAGGCTTTCCTGGATTGGAGAGAAGCTTTTAATATTGTTTAGCGTTTTCTCTAATTATCCGTTAATATCAATTACTAAACTAAGAGTGCAGCTTTTTTTCGTTTTTTAAAAAAATGTTTTTTTTATATATTTGCAATTTTACAATGCAATAAGCGAAGGTACATGTTAGAGTAGCTTTAAAAATGGCGCAGGAATAGATTATAATATACGTATGATTGAACAGAAGGGCTACTTAAGCAATCACATCGCTGTATGACTAACATCAGTAACCATCAACTGCTAGCGATAAGAGAAATTTATGTGTTTAAAGGGAGTTCAATTTTCTTCTAAAAGCATTGTAGAGCCTAGAATTTTTATTTGTCCCGTTGGTGTGTTCCAAGCATACATTAATCTATTTTAGATTACCTCTTCGACCATTTCACATATTAATATCACATATTTCTTTTCATTCAACGTTATAATTATGTTTTATTTCACATTTTAAAACTATTGACACATCGTACTTGGTTGCATTAATTAAAGGATGCTAAAAATGCTTTAAAACGTTCCTCAAAGATTTCTACACCACCGATTGGCATTTTGAATATGCAAAATTTAACTGATTTCGCTATGGCTGCATTCATTAATGACCATACGAATTTTTCAGTAATGATTTAAGTTGAAGATTTTGAACCAGGATGTGACAAGTTACGCATAATATCAAATATTTCTTTCTGAAATAAAGAATGGGAAAAAGGTGTCGTTAAAGTGAGACATGTTTAATTTAAGGGCTCTGTGGCATGCAGTGTAGCCGAAAAAACATTCAGAGAAGCACTCTGCGGTATTAAATATATTTGAATTTTTATGTGATTGGCGAACATTCCAACGAAGAAGTTCAACTAACACAGAATGGCAGTTTTTATTAAAAAAGATATTTAAATTTAATTCAAACCAAATAAGAATATATAGTCGGGCAAGACTCACCAAAAAATACCGTACACCATATTGTCTAACACAATTCTTATTTTCCTTGTAGAATGAAAAAATTATATCTTGTGTATACGTAATGGCATATTTTTCGTGTGCGTAGTTCGGGAGAAGAGCGCCCAAAACGCAACCTAATGCAGTATATGATTAATCCTTATCTAGGGCAGGATCCAAAACAAGGCGTAGATGGAGCAAATGTTGTAGAGTTTATTTTTGTATGAAATTACTGTAATATTATGGACCAATTTTTATCACCATACATTAAACCTTAGACTTTTCTACTCTGCAAAGGGTAAAGTTTCGTCAAAGTCGTTGTCAGAGTAGGATCCAAAAAATAGGCCGACAATGTTCAAATTTGATACAGTTTGGATGTTTTTAGAGATTCGATTTTGCTACATAACTATAAAAATCAAACTTTTGAATCATTTATAATTTTGCTAATACCATTTTATACATTCTTTGCATATTGCAATGTGTGTTTATCTTATTTATTTATTTAAGTACTTATACATGAAACTCAGTTAAGCTAAATTAACAGCGGAATTCGATTGACTCTTAAAAGCAAATCTTATATTAGTTGTTATTGAAAACTAATATAAACTATATAAGGAGAAGTGAAAAAAAAACTTCACGTATAAATAAATAAGAAGAAAAAAATAAATGAAGCATGTATGTACACAGCTGGGACAGAAGCATACCCACAATCGATACAGACACAAGTCGCAAGTGATCTCATAAGCCATTGCAAATATGCCAAAGCTTGGCATCCGATTACCAGTTAATTTTCAAATCACAACGAGATATTAAGTTTGTAACTTAGCTCAAAAAACCACGTAAGCAAATTGCGCCTGTTAAGCATGGTTGTTTTGATACACTTCAAAGAGTCCGATATTGAGATTAAGTGATCATCATCTGAACGAACTGAACAGCTCAC